TTTTTAAGGCTATCTTTAGTGCCAGCGTTATTTTTTTGTATACTAGAGATTTTCTGGCTGTGCAAGGCACAGCCAATGCCCAATATATAGTGTCAAAAATATTGAAAAATTTGCTGGTATTCTCATTTCTTTAAAGAATGACATGTAAATTCTTGGCAAGTTTTATGTAGTGTCTATGCAAATGCGTAACTCGGAGAAATGAGCGCATATGCAATATGAAAAATAAACATGAATGAAGAAGACAATAAACTCAAGTTAATTAACTCACAGCACACAATGTTTCTTTCATGCAGAAAGATACACACTCACGTATGATTCCAGATTTTTACAATAATTTGTACAGCTCGATCACATACAATTCCACAGTTTTACAATAATTTGTACAGCTTGAAGAAGAATTATGACCAAAAAAAATTCAAATCTTTGGCTAATTCAAGCATGTTGGACTTTGAATTACCAAATATTGATAATAAAGATATCTAGACAACGCCAAAACAAAATTAACTGAATCGTAGAACAATAGTGCGTAACTTTACAAACACTTTGAAATTCCTTGCAGCCCAAATGTTTGATGGCAAGATGTGACGTTCATTGCAGCCCCAAATGGCACCATGCGAATAATAGCTTTCGCACAGCACTTTGAAATTCGTTCATAGAGTCCTAACAATGTGAGGATTGATATTAAAAAGGTCATATTTAGTCATTGCTAGTTTCCTATGAATTCCAACAGGAATGATTAGAAGGCCGATGCTAGTGAGGGCATCCTGCAATTTCCCTTTCTTTACAAAACCATGCAGCTAGAAATGTAAACCATAGATAATCAGTATATGTGAAATTCAATAATTTAGAACATAAGAATTTATATAGCACAAAAAGGGACATCTCAATTTTCACTCATTGAATTTCATTTTATCAAATTCCTGATCCCTGGATTTACCAACAAAGTTAAGGTAAAGTGAAGTAAGATGAGATAATGCTATGATGCTGCAGTCTTTTCGTTGACCTTAAGGCCAATTATGTGAAGAAAAGCTTACTGATAGGTTGTGTCCCCTGATAGAAGCAGCAACTTTGATTGCAGCAAGTAGGTGATCTTCCTTGATCATACTCGTTTGCTTCTAGTACATATAAATCTATTGATTAGCCAACCTCACCATAATCGTATAAAGCATACGTTCAATTAATAAGTGAGATCAAACGAACCTCAACTGAAAAAATTATGAATAATAGATGAAATATAACAAAACTTAAGCACAAACATTATAGCGTGTAGTCAAGGAAGAGGAGAAAGTGACCTGAAATTGAAGCAATTCCTTAGTGCAAATCTGTGAACCCCAAATAAAAGGCTTTTCTGCACCAACACTTTCAACTTGTAATTAAATGAGTGCAATAAAGTAGATATATGGAGAAACATATGTAAATTTTTAACTTATATGAAAAGTAAACCACTCATTTGGAACGTATAGAAGTACTGCACATATTATTGATTGCTAGAGAAGCTTATATGACATATGAGTATTAGAATGCACTACTCTATCAAAAGATATTGGAGCAATGGATTCTAATACTGCATTTTCAGCTTGACAAAGTCATGAACCTAGGCTTTACAGGTTTATGGTTCTGGTAATAGGAGTTGTTAGCAGGTGAGGGAGGAGGTATTAATTCTAAGTATTAGAATGCATTGCTCTATCAAAAAATATTGGAGCAATGGATTCTAAAACTACAATTTAGGCATGATAGACCTGCTAAGTTCTTCTCTAGCAATATCAAAAGGTTTTAGTAAGGGTTGGGGAGTGTTCAATTCCCTTTTCCTTCCTGTTTTGGTTTCTTTGTTGGGCTGGCAGCAGTTTCGTCGATTGGGGTGGTATTTGGTGAAGCTGAGGTAGCAGTGTCTTCAAGCAGTTTGTGGCTAGTTGTTGCAGCAGTTGTTGATTTAGTGATGAAGCTTTTTTTAGTAGCAGTGGATTCGGCTATTTCTTGAAGGAGCAACTTGGCTGTTGGTGTGAACGTTTGTTGTTCTATGACTTGTTTTTGCTTGGTGTTTGATGTTGTTCCAGTTTCTGAAGCTTGGAGAGTTGGTGGTGAATCTAATAGAGCCAATGATATGTTGGGGACTTCAGCTGTTGGGTAGGCTTTGATGATTGCATTTCTTCTTTGAAGTTGTCCTTGAAAAGTTGTCTCATATGTTTTGATAAAACAGATCAACCTGTCCTTTTTCATGATGGCAGAGAGTTCTTGGTTCATTGTTATTCCCTGAAATGATAAGCATCAATGTGAGTGTTTATATATTAGTATTTCTGTATATAAATGTTGAACAAAAACTTGAAAGTTAGATGTGCTGATGTACATGTGCCTCTGCATCCTTAAGCTGCGCAGCAGTCAATTGTATCAGTCTTTCAGCTTCTTTTCCAGATATTAAGCATTGAATGCTTGCAGTTGGATCGGTCACTGTTATTCCAATGCGACACCTTATGTGCAATGTCCGAGTTTTAGTTTATTGTACAATGTATAGTATAAAAGAGTTAATTTTAAACAGGCTAGATGAGAAACAATACCTTAGTTCCACTTCAGCTTCTTGTCTGCATGATGAACATTTTATGATCCAATCTGTATCTGCTTCAACAGTTTTCAAACAATTTGAGCATGCAGTGTACCAAAAGCGAGTTTGGCCAAATGATAATTGCACTGTACCGCCTATCCATGCTGTTTTTTGCTGCAAATGAATTGAACTCTAGTGTATTACTATTTCATTTTCTTCGAAGTTGAAGTGTAAAATGATAAAACTGATTGGTTAGGGAAAAAGTTAGGCATTCTTACTGTTCAGAATGAGATTAATGCATCATGAATGGTCTTGATGTGCTCTTGGTTTGGTGGTGGAAGCAGAAATTCTGGATCTTTATATGCTTTTGCTTCCAATAAAATCTTAACTTCATCTTTATGGATGCTATACCATTCACGAAGTGGCAATTCGTCATGGACTGGTGGATTGATGAGAATGCATGATAGTCCTATTGTTGTTAATGACAAACCTGTTTAAGCAGAGAATTAAGATTTTTATGTGTGAGAAATATGAGTGATATGTAATGAATGTATACAGAAATTTTAGAGTAAGGGACTCACTGTTGAAAGTAGAGACTTTCACTCTCATAGCAAAGATCATAGGAGCAGTTGCAATGGTGTTTGCAAGGATATTGCCTTCATACTCTTGGAACTCATTCCATAAAGTGAGAAGCATCAATTTTTTCCTTTAAACAATAAAGACTCAATAAAAAGGATGATGTTAAATAATAATGTATGTGTCAAATAATAGAGGGAAGTGAGATTTCTTACTCTTCATTTATAATGAGAAAATCCCTTGTGACTGAATCTGGAGTTGTTTCTTTTTGAGGGAAGGCATATATGACCAATGCTTTGACACCTATAGTTTGAAGTAGTTAGTCAGATTTGAAAGTATCTAAGAATGTAAAATTGGATAAAATTCTGCAGAGATATGTTTTTTATATAACACTTACTTATCAGAGTAATATCAGATTCTGCATGTTTATGTGCATCAGAAAAGTTGTCAAAGGTGAAAGGACATGGAAGCATTGGAGGAATTGGTTCGAGGTAGCGCTCAATCAAAGTTGAGTAATGAATGACCCAAGAGTACGGATATTCGCTAACTTTGTATGTAGGAACAGCATTGATAATAGTTGCACCAGAGATGTAGTATCGCTGGTATGGAACTAACAGATTTCTGAACAGTCGGATGCAATTTTCATAGGCTGCTGCAGAGACTTTTGTTCCCTGTTTGTAATGTTTGTAGTTGAGTTAGTATACTATAAGGTAACATTATTGTGTATCTTGTATATGGATATCTGGATGAATGAGTATGCAATCAGGAAGGAGCAATCAAGTACGACTTGTGATTTTTTTAAAGTAAATCATAAACAATTAACATTTTTTTGACCCTCTATGTATAGTGGAAGCTTACGTTTATGGATTGTAAATTGAGGGGAATAGGAAGAAACTGTTGTTCATGTTTTATTGGTGATTATGATTGATGATCATGTATGAGATAAAAGTAAATGAATTTGTAATTATTATGAGCAGCAAGAAGATGATTCAAAGTGGTTAAAGTTATTTAAATGTGTTCAATATTCTGGTGAATTAAAAAAGACAGCAAGAGGAAGCAATTTGTATGAATTTTCTGCTACATAGTGAGAGTGTTATAGGAAAGTCTGATTTATTAGCATAGCATTGTATATTGAACTTTGAATGCTAAATTTTTCTGTTTTCATGAATCTCAGGTTAGAAGAGAAAAAGGAAAGCTGTTGTTTATGTTTTGTTTTTGTTTTACTACTATTGAGACTGAATTTTCAGAAGGTGTTAAACATTGATTTGGATCAGTTTGAAGATATACAAATTTTTAAAAGTTAGAAATATAAATTTATTAAGTCTTGTTAATATAGGTGGTTGTTAGTGGTTAGTACTGATTGTATATTTATGTATACATCCAGAATGTGTTGTGTAAATTAATAGTCCAGATAAAAGTGAACTTGCAACTAAACTGAAATTTGGAAATATCATATTTAGGCTATTTTTGCTAAGTAATCCTATGCAAGCAGATCTTCAAATATATAGAATACATAAAATTTTAAAGTGCAAGAATTTCTAAAGGATAGGGTATGAGTAAATTAGAAATCAAATATTATTTTGTAGTAAAGTGTAAATATAGCTATGCAGTCATTTTTGTCTTGGATAGGCTAGGAGAAAAAACATTGAATAAGTCATTGTAAGAATGGAATTAATCTATAGTTATTTATATTAGGTGATGAATGTACATAGTAGTTAGTAAAGTACTTGGGCATCAGTGAGCATGAATCGTTGGATCCTTCTAGGTGGTGCTTTCCGAGTGTACTGAATGTGATTCCTCTCAACTACTTGAATAAGAACTGTCCATTTGTCTGATTCTTTGTCAATGTCCAGCACAGTTGAGATATGTCTAGGCATTTTGACCTGCATTAGAATGAAGTATAGTAAGAATTCTATTATTTCGAATGAGAAATAGTAATTATAACTGGTAAAGGGTTGCATATATAGGAAAACACTATAAAAATAGTAAGAGAGATGAGTCATGAATGTACTTGTTTGTAGTGGTTCTGTATGCTGAAATACTTCTTTATACACTATATTTTTTGTTTTGTCCATCTGATGAGGGGAAAAATAGGCTGGTTTTATTAGTATTCTAACTGCTGAGGCTGTTTTTGCTCTTGAGAGAGCAACGTATAATTGACCATGGGAAAACACAGGTTCTTTCAAATATATACCCACAAAGTCTAAGGTCTGTCCTTGTGCTTTGTTGATAGTCATTGCAAAGCACAAGCGAACTGGAAATTGGATCCTTTTGTATGGGACTGGATATTGGTCGTCGGCTGGTGGTTGCATTGGAATTCTATGAATAAATACATCTTTTCCAGAGAATTCACCAAATGATATGGTAGCATGAATGATGTTTTTACTGAGGAGTTTGATTGTAAGCCTTGTGCCATTGCATAATCCCTCAGTTGGATCGAGATTTCTTAAGAGAATTATTGGTGCATTTGGTTTCAAAACTAATCTGTGTGGCGGTAAACCACTGGGAGTCAATGTATTCAGCAAGTCGATATATTCGGCCTGATGATTTTCATTTAATGTCTCATCATAACTCAAGTATTCAACTGGTTCTCCGGGGTATCTATCTATGAGAGCATTATTTATCTCATCAACAAATGGATTTTTTGTTGTTAGTATTGCCTTGTTTAAGAAAGGAGATGAGATTTGTGATCCATTGGTGATTTCAGGATAGACCATTTGGATCAGTTTTTGCAGTGCATCAGATTCATTAGTATAAGGAACTAAGATAGAAGGTGGAATTTTCACTAAATCATTAGCTTCTGTGTGAATTGTCCCATCTCCAATCTTTAATAGGAACTCTGTAAATGTGGGGTCTAATCTTGCTCTCATATTTTCACTTAAGTTTAGTTTCTCAAGTTTGTCCCATATTGGAGAATTGATTAGACAGGCATTTATCATTTGACTTTTTGCTCCCTTTCGAACTACTGGAAGTGTTTGTCTAAAATCTCCTCCGAGGACAACAATTTTTCCCCCAAAAATTTGAGTTGAATCCATGAGGTCTTTTAACAAATCATCCAATGCTTCAATTGCTGTTTTTTTGGACATTGGTGCTTCATCCCAAATTATTAACTTTGCTTGTCTAATCATTGTTGCCAGAGAAGTTTGTTTGCTAATTCTACATGTTGTACCCTCAGAAATATCAATTGGGATCTTAAATCGAGAATGTGCAGTCCTACCACCCGGTAAAATAGAAGCTGCAATTCCTGAAGTGGCAGTTGCGAGTGCAAGAAAGCCTTTGCTCCTCACATCTGCCAATAAAGTCCTATAGAGAAATGTTTTCCCTGTTCCTCCAGGACCATCTATAAAGAAAGCGCCGCTTTTTCCTGAATAAATTCTCTCAGTAATAACTTTGAATGCTTGTTTTTGTTTTTCATTAAGCATGTCGATTCCATTCAAATCATGAGCTGTAACAAGAATGCTTTTTTCTGCTCGTAATTCTCTAGTCAGGTCTTCTACGTTGTTATATGACAAATCAGGTGGGACTAAGTTGTAAGAACGTATGCTCTTGCCCATTGTTTGTAGAAAACCGTCTATTTGTTGTAGAGCTTTATGTTCAATTTCTTTAAATGTTAATGTTGAGCATCGGACAAGATCCTCCAACATGGACACTTTGAATTTTTCCCATAGTTGTTTTGGATTATTTGGGCAAGAGTAAACTAAGAGTGTAGCGAAAAGCCTTCTCATTTCATAAGGCATCTTAAAATGTGAGGCTTCTTGTAAACAGATTTCTTGACTATTATCATCTTGCAATAAATTTCGAATTAATGCTGCTTCCCTAAATGTATCTACTGTAACGCCATTGTAAGTTCGCAAGTCCTTGAATGAAGTGGGACATCGAACTTTTGAAAGGAGGAGTCTAAGGTAGTATCTCTCACCTTCTGTTGGATGTGCGGTCATTATTCGTCCAACAGAGTCTCCTCTTTCTCTGAGTTTCCAATATCTTTGGCTTGGTTTCCAAACAAAGTGGTCTGGAAACTCTGAGTATGTACAATTTAATCTTTGTGCATCTTCATTTGTCTTATTCATATGAAAAAATTCTGTTAACATTGTTTTCTTGAAATGAGGATTTTTTGCGACACTTTGAAGGTTAGCTCGCTTCTTGAAGATTACCGGTTGATAGTTCTCAAGATGTAACTGTAAATGGATAATTGCAGGTTTGATTTCACTTGTGCAAAATCTGAAAATTCTCCATACAGCTTCAGGTGGAGAAATCCATCTTGCTGATACATATTGTTCGATTTCATCTACGACATTGTCAAAAGTAGATGCTGAAAGACAAAAGCTTGTTTTATCGTGACCTTTACATATATATTTGTATATATATTTGACTGCTTTGATTGTTGAACATATTTCAACATTCAAATGACAATCAAATTTGGCTAATAGATATGAGTTATATGGAACAACCCATCTATTGTCTAAAACAGCACCTCTAATTGTTACTTGGACACCATTATTTGTTCTTCTATATTGAGGATATGCGTCTACTGTTTGAATGGTCTCTTCACAAAAATCTTTTGGATAATTATTTCGACAGACGCCATTCTTGGTCATGCAAGCATTAGATGGATTAGCAGGACCACAAGGGCCATGGAGCATGTGTTTGACTACCATCTCATATAGATGAGGATAAATTTTTTTACGTGGAATTTCTGCACACACAATTCTATCGTATTCTTCTGCGTTATATAATTTATATTTGGACTTTAATATTAATAAGAAATGAGCATGTGGCATTCCTCGTTTTTGGTATTCAATTACATAAGTATAGGCAGCCACCTCACCAAAAACACATTTTTTCAGTAATTCGTCTTTTAAGACTTCAAGTTTTGAGTGGAATACTCTAGCAAGCAAATCTGGTCTATTTTGTGCTTCTTCTCCATGAATTAAATATTCTTTTATTTCTGGCCAATTAGGATTACATGTCATAGTCAGAAAGATATCTGGCTTTCCAAATTTTTGGACCAAAGTCATTGCATCCATATATTTGCGTCTCATATTCCTTGGTCCTCCAATGAAGGAGGGTGGTAATATGATTCGCTGACCAACTTTTGATGCTTCTGTTTCACCTGTAGTCACAGCATCAATGATTCCTTGTAAAAATTCCTTTCGTATTTCCTCTTGTTGATTTCTAAAGAAGTCAAGTCTTTGGCTTTCTAATTTGACATATTGATCTACTACGTATTGTTGTAGTAGTCTTGCAAAGTGGAGGATGAATGATTCATCGTTATCCCTTATTTGGAGCTTATAAGCATAATACTCTCGCACGGAAACGAAATCTGGATCTTCTTGAAAGCTACTCATTACTGTGTAAAATGAGAAGAAAATTTTTTATTAGTTGATATTTTTGTGAAATTTTACATTAAAGAGTGCTGATTAATAAACTTGTATTTACTTACCAGCCTCTTCATTCTCAAGTAATTCATCTACATTAGAGACATTGATGGGGCAAATAGATTCGGTTGTAAGTTTTTTTTTTCTCAATCTCTTAGTTTGTGCCTTTATTCCCTTTTTCGGAATGCCTTGGTGCCATCCTAGATCACCAAAAGGAAACATTAGTGGGTATTGAAGTGGATCATAACATCCATAATAATATTGAATATTTTTTGAGGTCCCACTATGAGTGTGCACTCTAATGTCTCGCTTTCCTGTTTGACTATTGTCTTCACCTTCAATCCACAAAGCTGCTACTTGTGAGCTTGTAGGTTTATTATAGACTCTCTGGTCTAGACCAGGAATGCTCTTTAGGACAATGTGATAATTATCAAGATTAGGCACTCCACTTAAAGTTCGAAAAAATTTAGCGTATGGATTGTTTTCCAACACGCACATGAGTTTCTTAACTAAAGTTTCTGATAACCTGGGGCAAGATGCTATTCGATTGGCTAACTCAATTTCAGGATCATGAAAATATAATTGAAGGTTTTCGCCATGATCATTGGCTGAGTTTAAGTTGTTTAAAAAATGATAAATTTGCCCTTGAATTCTAAATGTATAGATTCCTTTATTTCTTCTACAAAGTTTCTTGTCATATTTAACACCAAAAGAGGTGACACCAAAGTGGTTGTTATAAGTTCTAATCATAGTTCTAAAGGTTTTTGCTTCTTCTGAAGTTGAAGTTAAGAGCTCTTTTAGAACATTAGGGAGTTTATTTTGAGAGAGAACTACTTCACCGCTGGAACAACAGAAATTCATTGTCTCAGAATAGAATTTCTTTGCTCCGCAATGCTGACACTGCGGCTCCAATGGTAACCTATCAGGGTAATCAGGTATGAACCTTAGCAAATCTCTTCCACTCGGATGCGTCTTACCTGTAATGCGTCTTATCATTTTTTGGGTTAGTGATTGTACATCGGATTGTAATGCAGAGTTGGTAGCAGCTGTGCAATTCTCAATCCTTTCCAATCTCAGAGGTGGTACATGTTGGATTTTAGTGCAACCATGTCTACGTAATTTCTTAGATTTCCACTTTATGTATGCTTGTCTTCTATAATTCTTTTTCTCGAAGCGTTTTTCTTCAAGATCATATGCAGAAGGATGAGAAAGAATAGCAGAGAGAGGTAGTACTGAGGAAGTTGGTTGAGAAGTGGAAACATTTGCTGTTCCACTTATACCACGAAGTCGAGTGACTGTGAGATTATAGTTCTCATTAAAGCTGTCTTGATAAGAAGATGTTCTATTTGAGCTTGATCTAAGATCAATATCATTAGGTTGAGGGCAGCTCTTGATATGAGAAGTATGGATTTCAGGGATACATGTAAAATTGATGGAAGGCGAACTGTGAGAGTGAGCATAAACCTCGTCAATATTAGAGGTTAATAGGAGCCGGTTATGATTTGATTGATTTAAGGTCCTTAAATGAGAACTATCTAATCCATGCATAGATGCGACATTGGAAGAGGATAAATGTTTAGAAACAGGGACAACTTCATTAGTATAATTCTCATGATCCTTCCTAATGATGTTACTATTTGGGTCTGTCATAAAGTGGAAGGTGGGACGAATTAGATGAGCATTATTTCCTGAGGTCTGAATATTGACATATGTAGTATCAGAATGCATATGGATTGGATTAGCAGGATGAGCCTGAGAAAATGGGAGGTTTGTTGATAGCTCTTCAGATTGTTCTATTGTATGAGAGCTATTTGCGTTCCTTTTTAATGAAACCTCAGCATTGTAACATTCATCGAACCACTCATCTACTAAACTAAAGGGTTTATTTACATTCCTTTTTCTTTTCATTTTAATGAAAGTAGGAGTAATGAAATGTCACTAATGATAGCTAATGAAGAGAGTAAAGCTAACTTCTATACATATGAAATCCAAACTGTTAGATACAAGCAGCTGACCAAGAGATACAAACATGAGATTAATTGTTTGAGACCGTCATATTCAACGAATTAGAGTGATTAAATAGTAAGAGGCAAAATCTGAGAAAGAAAAATCATATCAGCATAGAGATTCAGTTATGATATTCTCCAGGGTGTAGTCAAGCAGAACAAAACTTAAGCACGAAAATTGTAAGATGTAGTGAAGGAATAGAAGGAATAACCTTGAATTGAAGCAATTCCTTAATATGAATCTGCCAACCCCAAACCAAAGCTTCTTTAGCACCGACTCTTTTAAATCGTAACTAAACCCCTGAAAAAGGTTGGCAACCAAAATAAATTGTACAAGAAAGGCATCAATGTAAAACTATACAAATTATCCAATATGTTTAAACTATACTCAGATGAGAAAAAATTAGAAAGAGGCGAAAATATAATTAGGCACACTTTAAATGAATGTGAATCTGTTAAGGAGAAAAGTAGCTGAAATATTAAGAAATACCACCCACCTACACCTACCCTCAAGCTTGTATCTGAGGATTTCCAATATTATATTAGAAGCTGAACAACAACAAGCACAAGAGATGAACTCAATCTGTTGTACACACAATGGCCTTCCCCCAAAAGAAAAGAAACAAAAAAAAATCCCCTTTTTGGTTTATGCCTCTTTTTTAAGTTGGAAAAATCAACTTTAAAGAGCGTCCATGAGTACACCTACCGATTTCTTTGCCTACTTGCAATGTTTTATTAGTGTGTTTTTAGTTATCATCATCCTTCTTCTTCTTCTCGGTCGGTCCATCCATCCATCCAATCCCCACTTTTTTGGGGCACTCGTGACTCATGTCAATCTTCTAGATCAATACTCTGTACATCTTGAATTAATTTTCTGTTGCAGGTTGGAATTTTTTTACTCCAGGGTAAGGAGTCTTGTGGATTTGGGTCTCCATTTGTGGTTTTGTCGGTCGTTGATTATTCATGCAGTCGACTCATTTGGGATATATATATATATATAATTACATGCGGAACCGAGTCGTCGGCGTTATCGAAAAATGTCTTGTACCAATTGCTGCGCCTATTATTACACGTATTCTATTTAACACAAACAAAATAACTCTTTCTTTCTCCTACATATATATATATATATATATATATATATATATATATATATATATATGCCGTGATCTACAGTATAATAGATACCAACACTCTCATTCAACACTCTCATATATATTTTGTTTTTGACTGTGACACTTAATGTGGTCAACAGTGAGTAATCGATGATATTTAGAGTCGGATCTACTTTTTTGCCTCTTGTACTATAAAATATGGACAAATAAGACAACTGTACTGAATTTTTTAATCCCCTAAATAAATTACTTAAATTTGGGGTTGATAGTCCGAATCTTCTTTTGTACAGGTGAGAGTGACTGATTGCCAGCAGGGTTCCTTCTCATTTCATATACTACCAGAATATATTCCATGAAGCTTTTTGCACAAACCAAAAATTTTTGCACTTATTAACTGATCATGTAAGAAAAATAAAAGCTAATTAGAGGAATGATAGACACACTAACTATTAATTTTTGTAATAAACCTGATACAATGAATCTAATCCAATTTTTGTCCCCGTATAGTATAGGTGTTTCCGTTTGTTTTTGACCACCAAGAATCCTTTTTGTTGTTGGAATCCTTTTTGTAATAAAAATTTGTAATTTATTAGTAACTTTTTCTTTAAAAACAGCTATAGTTTATCCGTCTCAGTCACTGCCGTGTCCAACTTGCAAATCCACGACTTTAGACCCCAAAAACATGGATACAAGTAATTACCAAGTATCAGACCATTCCTTTGCTCTATCAACAACCAAAATCTATTTCACCTACACAACCTTCTATCCCATCCTATCCACCACTCAAAAATACCATATTCGTTGAATTGGAGGAAAAAAATAGGAGAACTTACAATCTATGGACTTGATACTCGCAAGGGAACTTAAAAGTGATAACAAAAAAAGTAAGGGAAAAAAAATTCAGTCGACAAGTAATAACTGAAAGCAAACGAACTTACAGCTGAAATCTGTGAACGCTAAATCAGAAGCTCTTCTGCACCAATTCTTTCAAAGTGCAATTAAACCCCTGAAGAAATTTGGCAACAAAAATAGAAAGTATATAGATTATCCAATCTCTTCAAGACTGGTGGGGAAAAATATTAGGCACAGAATATGAGTAGTTACCTTTACTCGGAGATGTTACAGAGCAAAAGGAGGAAGAAGCGTTGATTTTTTTTGTGAGCAGTGTTTGTGTTCCTAATGTATATAAAGACACAAAATTGATGAGTTGTTAGAGATTTTTCTTCTCATTTTCGATAATTTGTGAACTGGCAAATGAAAAGGAAGGCAAAAGGACAAACCCTATATCTCTAGTAATAGGTGGAAATCATAGCTCATACCTGACTCTTTGTGGAATAATCGCATAGTTGGGATATGGATGAGCAGCCACAATTGACTCTTTCTGGAACAATAGCTCGATTGGGATATGGATGAGCGGCCATATTTTGGGGGAAAAGATGGTCAAATTATTGACCAGGTGTTGGAGCAGATAAGTTGGTACTTTTGTTTGTCTGATCCAGGAAGAAAACAAAAGAGAAACAAAGGAATGGAAACAGAGAGGGAGGGACGAAGGAGAAAAGGTAGAGCTCAACATGAAAAGAAAATGAAATCTGCAAATATGCTTCTTCTGAAGCAAAAAGAAAACGAAACGGAAAAAACGGGAAAGAGAGGGCAAGAATGCTAGGGAAAAAGTCAAAAACACTTCTAAACAATTGGCTATTGATGGAAGAATTGAAGTTGTACTTTTCTTCGTTGAACCAGCAAGAAAAAAAAGGAGAAATAAAGAAACGGGAAACAGAGAGAAAGAAACGAAGAAGAAAACAAAGATGATGGGCTAAAGTTGTAAAATGAAGTGCAAATGAACATGAATTCCTTCCCTGCCATCGGTGCTAAAGTTGTTTGACTTTTTGGCTTCTTGTCTTTCATAATGGAGACAAAGAATAAGTGGAGAACAGAGCTAATGCCAACTACCGGTTTCTTTGGTCTAAGGAAAGAGGGCAAGAGACATGAAAGACTGAGAAGTAAAAGCAAAAGAATATGCGCGGAAGAGACATGAAAGACTCAGAAGTAAAGCAAAAGAATATGCGCAAAAAGTCAGACATAACCCTCAATAGTTTGTTACTGTTTTGTGGCTAGTTATTTTTCTTTGGGCAAGATAGTAATTTCATGTAAAAAGGCCAAAATGCCCTCAACAGTGATATACTATTAGCAGAAGTAGTAAACATTCCCAGGACATAAAAGGAAGAAAAATTTTCTCCATCCTCTAATGCCGCCAGGTGGATCAATGTGGGAGAAGAAGTCTTAGCTTTTTCTATATATGTAAGATACAATAGAATGTAAATTTCTTTTTTTCTTAGGGGGTTACTAGGGAGAGATTACGGTCTCAAGGGAGAAAAATATTCTGATTCAAGCCCATGACAACTAGAAGTGTGAGTAAAAAGCCCAAATGTGTCACAAACCGGATGATAGCACACGGGTTCAATTATCTTCAAGATTTGGCTTACACTTGGGTAGATCCAATTTTCAAAAATTAAGCTTCGTTTGGATTGGTCTATTTTTCAAAAATTAATTTTTTAAATACAATACTACAGTAATATACAAATAAAAATAATTCAAAAAATATTTCATCCATACAATATATCAAAAATAACTCACAAATATACAAAAAAATTTAAAAATAAATTCTACAATATTTTCCACCCACCCCCTCCCTTCCTCCTCCCCCTCCCCCTTCATCCTCCCTCTCCTCCATCTCCCTCCTCCTCTCTTCCCCTTCCCTCTTTCTCCTCCCTTTCCCTTTCCTCCCGCAATCTGGTCACAGCTAGATCGAGAGGGGGAGGGGAGAGTTGGGGGATGGGGTAGGAAGGGAAGGGGAGGAGGAAGAAGGAGGAGAAGGAGGAGGAAGAGTAAGGAGAGGAGAAAAGAGGAGGGAGGCGGTGGTGGAGGTGGTAGGTGGGGGTGGTGGCCGTGGTGGTTGTGGGTGGTAGTATTAATTTTTAAAAAGCATTTTAGAAATATTTTAATTTTAAAAGGTACCCCAAAATATATTCCAAAAACCCCTCCAAAAAATATCACAAAAAATATTTACAGTAAAATTTTTTCATATACACTGTTATAATAAAATATTTCAAAAACACCCCAAAAACAGCTAATCCAAACGGAGAAATAGTTTATATTGTGCCAAGTTTTGGCCAACTCCATGTTTTGCTACATCCTGTCCGTTCTGCCCCAAAGCTTGCAGCTACAATGTCTATTCTATCTAGAATATGTATATAGAATTTAAATTTCAAGAAAATAAAACTAACCTACATTTTGCTGCAACGCATACCCATTACAAATTCATAAATGAGATTGTGGGTAGATTTATAAAGGGAACTTTAGAAAGAATGTATAAAGTGACCAGATTTGCTTGCACCATAAACCATCTCTTCCTTTGTATATAGTATAGATTAAATATTTTAGAAAATTCTTTTCAAAATCAAACTGTATATTTTGTGCATCTTTTTTTTAATGTGTTTGCCTCTTTAAAAGTCACTTACACAAATAATATCTTTACCTTTAATTCCTATTATTTCAAATATTTTGTAATTATTCAATATATTTAATTAGAAAACTTAATGCATAATTTTGGGAGTATTCGATACATTCAACTCCAAAATAAAGTGCATGCTAGATGAACAAATTATTTTCTAATCATTATATATAGATACTCATACTATTGTTGATAAGATTTTAAAGAGTGCATAATCCCTATATATATATATAGTTAAGTTGTTGATGATGGCCAACAGTTCAAAAGGCCGCTAGTTAATCCAACAGCCCAAATCTGGCTCTACAGCCTACAGCCCAAAGATACCAGATGGAATTCAACATGGCAATGGAAGGTTGATCCAACACAGTTACCAGCTTAGTACATATGATTCAAGGCATAAATGTTAATTTTTTGCAACCCCCTCCATTGCTGTATCAAAGTGTACTTTATGAATGGCTTTGTTATAAATGATCTACAAGTTCTTTTTACTCCTATCATACCAAACATGCAAACAATCAAAGTAGCAACCAAACTTTGCACAATCCCTATCAAAATTGGCTGATTATATAATAGGAAACCAGCCATATTAATTCGTGTGGCCAAGGGTGTGTAGGCCCTCTAGAATGGAAGACATGAAACAAAAAGTACGAGATCTTACAATTATCCATTGAAAGAACAAGTATTTTCATGCATGCCCAGAAAATGAAACGAGGTTTCAATTCTGGAATCGAGATTAATGCTGACCAACGATCTCATAATCACCAGATCAATATCCCTACTAATTAAACTGGATCAATCCGATTCTTTTTCCTTTCCACGAGCCATTTGTAACAGTTGAAGGATTGTGTAAAGCCTCGAGTACATTTGACATTTGTGGCCGCTTAGAAGGCTTGGGATCCAGGCATGCCTTGGCAACAAAAGCTACAGCCCAGATTTCCTTCAAAAGAACCTCATCTATGGTTAAAGACCCATCTACGATGTTTAGAATAAGTTTCTTATCCTGCGAACTAACATTGGACAAGGTGTTTGCCATGCTATCCTTTGTCATACGATAATTGGCAAGGCTAAATTTCATCCTGCCTGTGACCAGCTCAAGCAAGACCATTCCAAAGCAGTAAACATCATAGGCACACGTTGCATCAAATGTACCTGGCCATTCAATTCATGCTTTAGACAAACATATTTTGAAAGTTTTACAGTTATACATTAAAGGACAGCTCAAAATATAAGCTACATGTAGATTCCGCGTACCAGAAATACTTCTCTCAAAACCCCTGTTCAAAATGAAGAGAGAATGTCACAAAACTTAGCTAAGCTACAGTATTAGTACAGGAGACATACTATAGTACTGATTTGGATGCTGCTGAAAATCAATCAGCAGTTTAGCACTCGTAACATAAATAAAAATTCACCGTTCATGTTGATTTTTTGCCCTTTTGGACAATGAATCCTCATATCTCATTAGTTTATGGCAATGCCAAAAAAGGAAGTTCTTTTCTGCACTTAAGAATTTGCCTTAAACAAGAAATTAGAAATTCGAAAGGCAGCAAATGGGTAGCTTTGAATAATTTCGAATTTTTTACTTTAAACAAGAATTCACCATTTTTCCATTTGGTATCCGTTAGCACATCTAAAACTCACATAATTTGCCATGTATACATATATTAACAATTATTACCCTTCCTTCATTTATATACTTTTCCTATTTAATTTTATCTACTCTTCCTTGTATTTGCTTATTGTTCCTAATTAATCTTGCATTTCCAAAAATATGACCCTTGAAATAAAGATCGAAAAAAACATACATCATTTTTAAAAAATTATTTCCTTAGTACTTTCTTGAAAATGGAACATGCGTGGAAAAATATATTAATCAATGTCTATGAAGAATCTTTTTAAAAAAATCCTAAAAGGAAAGCACACAAAAATTAGCCAAAATGCATACTTGATCAAACACGTACCTGGAAAACCTACTCCCATTCGTCTCTTTCGCTTGAGTACAGACCTCATGGAGTCTCCCCAGCCGCACTTCAAAATCATCATCAAGAAGTATGCTACTAGCATCGATGTTTCTTCCCCCCCAAAAAAAAAAAAAAAAAAACCAAAAGAGAAGTATGTCAAGTGAAGACCACAATCTATTCAAACCTTCCAAACTAAAAATAAAAAAATATCATATGTAAGATTAACCTTCCTACACAAGTCGTAAAGAGATTTTTTTTAATATTATACATGCAATAAATAAATAAATAGATTAATGAACAAAAATAAATCTAACCAAATTCGAATATGGGCTACCTATGAACAAGTGGTGGATCACATTTATGGTGTAAATAGCACAGACCCTCTGCAATTCCTCTTGCTATCTTCAATCTCGTTTCCCACTTCAACCAATCTAAATTCTTACCGCGGTAAAATGGAACAACATTCCTGAACCAAAAGCTGTGCAAGTCCATATGAGGCATGTATTTGTAAACAAGAAACTTGTGATTGTCATTCTCCAAGCAGTGCCCCAAAAGAGGGACAAATCTAGGATGAGAAACCTTGTTGTAAAATTCCAGTTCTTGCATGAAGGAAATTCTATTGATCAACGACAAGTCAACTTTCTTCACTACTACCCGAATTCCAGCATCTAAAGCACCCCAAAACAGATCCCCTGTGCGGGCATACATGATCAAGTTGGAGCTGCTGAAGTTATCGGTGGCTTGGAGAATTTCATCGTATGTAAATGAACTCCTGGCCAGCGATGATGGCGATGGTGATAGAGATGGTGATGGTATTGATGATGCTGAAGAAAGATCGCTGGGAGTTCTTTGAGCAATGAGCCGGAGCTCCTCCCTGAGCAGTGTAGCTCCGACTAGCCTTTCCCAGTTGTCGTAAATTCTGGACATCTTGATTGATTAATCTAATAGATTTTGTTTGGTGGAAAGATTGATTAAACTAGTGGTATTTGCATTTTGATTGGTTGGTAAAACTTCAGTCTGGCTATGAAAGTTATTCGTGATGTACTCCACTCCTTTTCTACAAGTTGACCCTGATTAAAACTTGTTCAAGTTCAAAGAGAAATTTAGATTGACAATAATGAAGAAATTTTAAATTTAAGAAATTAGATTCTAAATTTATAAAATCTCAAATTTCACAAAAAGATAAGAACTGAAAATGCTATCATAAGAAAAAATTTAGGATAGAATAAAACTCTCACCAGAATAATATAGAAGAGAAGAAACTTTTAATAGCAGATTTTAAAAGAGAAAAATCTCTCACTAGGAAACCCTAGGAGTGAATCTATCATTAATAAAAACACACGAGTATTTCAAATCCATAGGACAAAGTTTGAGAGTAATTGACTATAATCTAAAGTCAAAAAATTGTAAACGTCAATATATTAGCAACATTTTATTAAAAACATAGGATATTCATTAAAATTAATATTGACTTTTAGGTTTTTATCTTTGGTAACTTGACTATTAATACTGACTTTTAGGGTTTTATCTTTGGTAACTTGACTATGAGTATCAATTATGCAAAGGAATTTGGAAGCTAAAATGAACAACAAAAAAAGATAAAGTTAACATGAAGAAGAAAGGGAAAAATCAGTATGTGAATCTTGATGATAAAAGAAAAGGGAGTAATTTGCTGCACAAGTATAAAATATCAAGTGTTAATTTCTCTCTCTCTCTCTCTCTCTCTCTCTTTGTCGATAATGATAACTATCTAACTTACTTTTACGCCTATTCTATGAAGGAAAGGAAAGCCTGCGGAATGAACTATAAGACCAAATAAGTGCACTACTTCATTATATAAGAACAAGAAGTATTATGCATCTTGTGTGATGCATTGGGTGAGATTTGAATCTCCCGATCTTTTTGACAAAAAAAAAAAAAAAAATCTCCCGATCTAATGCATAGAAGAGATTTAGGGACTCTTCCTAACCAACCACTGGACCAAGATCCAGTTATTAATTTGTCAGTCAAACTTGGTGTCCTGGAGCAAGGGACCACCAGACAAGTGCAATTATGACTCAGAAGGTTCTTCAAACAATCATTTCGGTTGAACGCTCTTTGGTTGACCAGTCTGTTTGGTTCGTCGGGCATTTTTATCCTTTCCACGGGCTGGCCACCGGAGACCCTCTGCCAGTGGGCTACCTATGAACAAGTGGTGGATCACAGTTGTGGTGTAACTAGGAGGGTAAGCACCGCGCAGCGCGCGGTGAGGTTATACGAGATTGGCATGGCCCATCGAATGAGATTATTCTAGTACAAAATAAAAGGAGGAAAATACTTAGAGAAAGCTAAATAATATGATATTAAAGCAAGTAGCAGGTACATGCCTACTTCAATATCAATAACAATTGTTATAACTTATTACATTTGTCTTGATTGTTTATATATTAGGAAAATTTTTATAAGTGATATAATGTACAACATCTTGGAATTAGATAACTACGATTAAACAAGACAAATTCTTAAACTGGAAATACAATTCAAAATCCAAGAAGAATTGGTGCTAGAATGTGAATTCAAGGTTGTAATCTATCTTCCCCCCCCCCCCCAATATCTGTCCTTTGGTAGATTTAACTAATTGAAATTGCAATAAAAAAATGCCTTCGGAATGAAAGAATGTGATAAATTCCATATTCAAGCATTCTTGTCTCATTATTTCCTATCAAGAGATAGTAGCACTCAGTGAAGGCAAGGCCTCTAATAGCAACTACCTATTAATGACGGAGCCTGATCTTCCTCCTCAATGTTGTATGCAACTATCACGATTGGAGACTTCCTAGTATCGTTTCAAAATATCCATGCGATGTTTTAGGCAACCAAAAGCAATTGCGAATACAGAAGTTTCCCCTCTTAAATACCATACACCAACAGATAGAAATATGAGATCCAAAACTCCAATCATGTCAAGGAGAAAAATATCCGCGATCAAATTCCATCCCCTCTACAATGTGCAGGCTATTTTTACCATAGCTCCATGTCTCACTTCTTATTAATTCTCTTCCTACTTTTGAAAAGAGTCGGAAGTCCTGTTTCCTACTGCATAATCATTTCCTGCGCTAACAATAGCAATATTTGCAAAATCATGACCGGCAAACCTACAATCATCAGAAATTTAAAACTTAAAATGATTTTTCTTCTTGCAATGGTACAAAGATGGCAAATTACCTCCCTGATGCCAATTTGAGTTCTGAAACAAGCATTTTGGTAGTTTTATCAAATCCCATATGAGAGCTGAATATGTTTCATCCTGAAAAAAAAACACACACAATGAAAAGTGAAAATGGAACATTTTAAATTGCTTTGACACAATAATGGCAATTTCAAAAGCAATTGATAGCGGCAGCAAAGTCACCTTTAACCTTGATAACTTTAATTAAAGAGAGCAATGTAGACAACAATAAAAAAATAGGTCAAATTAGAGATCGGACAAAAATAAATTGGAGCGAAGATGAGAACAAATTCAGCAACATTTGCACCGTCCTGCCTCGCTAATTTAACTCCCACATACTCCAAAGCATCCTCCAATCAATCTGTTCTGCGCAAGTAAATTACATGAAGTGCAAATAATAACTAAACTAAGAATAAGATAATATTCCTATAAACATTTTGCTTTTCTTTGAGATGATAGATTGTAAATTTGCAAGCTCTCTTAAGCCCCAATAAACTACACCACATACGAAAATATGCATTTTGTTGCATTAGTATGCCAAAAAAATACACTCTAATGCAGAATGACAGAAAGTACAGATACAGATGTTGGACTTTAGGCTCAAATCTTCATTAAAAAGCTCCAAATTATTTATCAAAATTATTTCTAATACCTGGAGCATTTTTTATCCATTATTCCCCCTTCTCTTAATCATTATTTGATGGCTTTCCAAATGTAGTACACTTAATCATAGTAAATAAATCTAAAAGATTTAGAAGAGAAAACAAGAAGCAAATAGCACCTTCTTCCATTAAAAGTATGAGAATAACTGACATAGCCAAATATAAGAAGAAGAAAATTTTTAAGACATCATGTTGTGGAATCTACCATAAGGTCACCTCAAAGTGAAATAAGTAGATTGCTTGAACTGATGCAAACGCTATGATTGTTTCTTAGTAAAAAAACAACAAACTTGCTAGCAATTTCAGCACTAATATTGCTTGTACATATCAAATACACTGATATACCATGTAAGACTTGTTACCTGTTTAAAACACTTTCAGTATCTTTAACAATCTTGGGATGCAATTTAATCTGCAACACCAAAATTCTTCCTTTTGGTCCCGAAGTTACTCCAACTACTTTTGCCACGAAGTCTACACATGCCTGCACAATTAACAAGAAAACTTTACTAATCATTCACCACTTAAAAATATTATACAAGAAATAAGTAATAGATGTAAACCAGAAGCTTCTCCAACGCTGAACTATTATGGTTAAAATAGAGTTCTTTAGCCATAGCTATTGCATTTAGCATAGAACTTATAGTTTCAATTAAAACTACAATATGGTTCATACATGAACATTGATGGCTAGGGATAAATAGAACGCCTATGTTTTTCGTTTTGCTTTGTCATCATGAAAGTTTGTTAAAATAAAAAAAAATCATCTAGTTATATATATGATCAATCATCATCAACAACCCTTTTAAAATCAGGGTTCAAGGTTCCAAGAATAAGAACCATTGAGACAGTTTTTAAGATGACCTTAGAGGGGGCACTTTTTAAAAAATTGATAAACAAGACCTATGAGACAGTGAAATAAAAATATCTTGCACAAAGCCTTTTTTTTCCTTTTCCGTTGGGGTGCTGTATGAATAAGTGTATCTAAGCATTCATAAGATAATTAGTTGAAAGTTAATTATAATTATACCCATAATTGTGTTGTATATAACATGAATATGATAATTACTACCAACTTTTGGAAAACATAAATCAAGTATGAAAAGCCAAAATCAGTTTGAAACATATAACTTGTTTCTGTTCATAGTAGAAAAATGAAAAATAAAATGCACAGCAGACATAGCAACCTCCTTGGGAATAGAAATAGCTCTTCTGTGACATGCAATATTGTATCTGACTGTAAGGATAGCAAGCAAAGAAGCTTTGCCTGGCATATAGTGCAAATTAAATCAGAATTTGATATCTTTTTTTTTTTTTTTTGCCGAGTCAAGTACACAATAGGGGAGAAAAGTGGATTTCATTTGAAAAAATACATCACCATAAAATAAAAATAAAAAGAAACATGGTAATTAGAAGAATATACCTTTCTTATATAGAAAGACATGATTAAACATCTTTCATCCTTTTCTGTCCTCAAAAGGTCAAGAACGACATAAATCTTCCATGAAAATATAAGTGAATGAGATGGTAGTGTTTTCATAGTACAGAGAGAAAAATGTTGCTAAAGACCAGAACATAGCAATAAAATTTCTCTCAAAGGATGACCAGTCCTCTCAAATGTCCCAAATAATAGTAACATCATCTTCAAAATAACCTTCTTAACTTTTCCATTTTTTGCAAGGGCTTATGCAATCCAACATCACTATAAAAACACCTTTTTTGAAGAATATTTTAGATTGTGATCTTGCAACAAAATTATAACGGACAATCTCTTTTTCAGCTAAAGCAAGGCCAACCATTTCTTTGAAGATGAATAGAGGCATAAAATTTTGACAAGCTGCCTTCCTTGAAATAAATCAATATTCATTCCCAAAACTTTTTGTCTTTTGTGCAAGCAACCTTATAATTTCAATATATTTTCACTACCAGAAAGGTTTTACACCAATATGGAATAAAGCCAATTAAAATAAGATAAAGCGAATAACTCCAAAGACCACAAGACCTGCCATATTTACATTGACTGATTGGAAAGGTCCAATGTCTCAAGCGATTTGGTGATTGGTAAATGAAAGGTAATAAACATATTATACCTTAGCATCAACTTCCAAAGAATTGATGTAGAGTTAGTTACTTGGATCCTACAATGAGAACCAAGAAAGCCAAAATAAGTCTTACAAACCAGACAAATGCTAGGAAAATACAGTGTTATATTACCAAATTAAAGGTACCTTTGGTGACATCTAGTTGAAGATACAAAGTTGCTCTATCAATTTGCAATCATCAACATACCTTATATGCATGTTCTTTCCCATGTTAAGATTCATCTCACTCTATTGGCCAATTAAGTTCCATTCTACGTTTTTTGTCTAACTTGATAACATATTTAGAATTAAACAGTCACAGCAATACAACTCAGCAAGAAAACCCACCAAGCACAAGTTATATGATACATGCAAGAAAACTTACTATTACTAATTGTTTAGTAAGGAAATAAAGGAGTATAAATTCCAAATTTCTAGTACTAACTTTTACATATCAGTTATGAAGGTTAATAACATGTGGATCCCTTGTATACATTTGATCAAATAACTACATGACAATGCGGGGTAGAATTGCTAACATGCACAACTTAGTCATATCCGTTTTCTTTTCTGTCAGAAAAACTGCTTCACTCGTAAGTGCTTTAAAAGCCATCATATGGGAAGAATGATCAAAAAGGTTGAAAGAAAAATGGATCACACAATAGCTTAACAAGTGAAAGCTAGATCAAGAATCAAGAGGGTTGATCATTTCAGAACTAACTGAAACATAAAGGGAACAAAATAGGAGCTCAAACAACTGAACAGGAGCTGAAAAAAATTCAGTATTCATTGTCAAGAAATCATCAAACTACACTATATTCACTCATATTGAAAATCAATAAGATACCAATACCCCTAATGAGTAAATACGATTTGTCTCGATGACCATATACTATAAATACAGTACGTAAAAATATTAAATTTTTTTCAAATTCCATAATTTCAGGAAAACAAGTAGCACTCTCCTCACTGAAACTCTAACTTTAGTCACCACAAATGAACAATTTAAGGAATAACAATTGAAATTATGGTAAAAAGGAAAGCAAAAAACCTGTAATAACGGAAAAGCAACAAGTTATAAAGTCCGATGTAACCTCTTCTGCAAAGAGCAAAGGAAAAGGGGTATAACATTTAGAGTACAAACTGCAATAAAATACACATGAACAGAAGAAGGTACAATCAAACTACTCACTAATTTTACACAAAGTAGGCTGGATACGGTATTGAGTCGTGCTGCTATATTCTGGAGTAGTTCTTGGAAAGGACAGAAGAAAATTTCCAAATTTTGGACCTGCAATATCAAAAAATTATACATTAGACAACAGAATCGAGGGGAAAAATCATTTAAAGGCATCAGATTGACAAAAATCGAAAAGAAACAAGCTGTGAATTTAAACAATTCTTCACATAGAACTTATCCAGAATAATGCTATGATTAGGCTCTCAGCAAATTGGAATTGGAATAAATTGAGAAATCAAAGATAAAAAATTAGTTCGTCAGTTGACCACTCATCGTAGATATCGCATTGGAAAAAGAAACAACGAAGAAAAAAGATTCTCGACCTCGACAGAAAGAAAGTGCACCAATCAATTTCAGAAGTTTATTTTGTCGCGTTCTACACCAATCAATTTAACAAATTACCTATGATTTTTATTTTACTTCAAAAGTTTATTTACTTTTTAACCCCCTAACACACAAACAAGTCTTTTTACTACTTCTTTTCCCCTAAAAAAAAGTTTCAGAAAGACGTACAAAAACAAATATGTTTCAGACAGAAAAAAACACGAGACAAAAAAAAACAGATAAAAAGGAAATTGGGAACATGAATTAAACAAATAAAAAATGCAAAGGCAGGTGAGAAAAAGAATTAAGAGTCTCAAAGATGGGGAAAATCATGGAAAACACTCACTCTGATCCGGAGTCATCTTTGAGAAGCATTAGAGAAACATACAACCTTCCACCTTCTTTTTCAAACAAACAAATGCAGATGTGATTGATGGGAGAAGGTTGCCTGCTCCCAACTTTTCAGTGATGGTAGCGGGTTCCCTTTTCTCCACTCCTTTCATTAACCATCCGACTCCCTCTCTCTAACCCTTTACTTTCTCTTTCTTCTCGTCTTCTTCCTCATCCTCACAAAGAAAACTGCACTTTTTCTCTCTTCAATTTCAGAAGCTTTTTCTCTCTTCAATTTCTTTAACATATATGTAAAAGGACAAATGCCATGGCTCAAAAGGGATGATTGTGTTGCTGATGTGGCCAATCGTTATTGGCTGGAGTGTGTTCGTCCATCTGTCTATTCTGTTCTATACTTAGTACCTAAAGTCAGTAAACTTTTCAATAATAACTTCTTCTTCTACATGACAGACCAAAACTGTCCTAAGACATTGGCACAAGTACAAATTTGAAAAACTACTGATAGAAGAGTTGTATCTAAAAGCATCCCAATTTAAGCACCAATAAAACCCAACCAGAGCTTTTCACATGAAAAACAAACAGCTCTGCATTTTTAGAACCACTGTTAATTCTAGAATTGTGAAAACAAAATGACTATAGCCCATGAGACATAAACAAGATGACAAAAAAAACAAGTATCCCCATGAAAAAAAACTCAAAGCAAGAAGCACTCTCAAATTGAGACCTAAACGAATGCAAGCAATTTGAAAGAATCGACAGAACTGCAACAGTGTATACATTTTGAAAATCACAATCAGTTAGTCCTCGGATGCTAGATTGCTAATCACTTGAGACAAACAAACCAGCCAATTAATGGGCCCTAGAAAGCACGATAGTCAACACCCTTAACTATGTACACTGATAGGCATTAGTTAGCGAAAATTAAAAGCACAAGTCTTCACAAAACTATAAACAAATACAAAAAAGGCGTATAATTAGACATTTAATAAAAACAGAGTTTAACTTAAAAAAGTAGATGGATGTAATAGAAGTTAGACAAGGAAGAATCCATCTTCCTTGAAGCGTATACATCCAGCAATAATTCATGAGTATGCAGCAAAGCTACTCAGCATTCATCTATTAACTAAAATCAGGATACTAAATCCAACAATGACTCATGTATATAGAGAAATGAAATACTGCTCCGGACATTATTATGTGGCACAATTAAACTAACATGAGAGTATAAGTCAACTTATCCGGAAAACTAAATTCCAATTTGTCAAATTACAAATGGAACAGATTTGCGCTTTTTACCAACCACAACTACCATCTAGGACTCTGGAACAATATGAATGAATAGCCAGGAACCATCAGACTTAAATAAGGACTATGAAAAGAAAACAGCCATATAGCAATAGAAAAGGACATGATGCAAGAAAAACGTTGATGCAAGGCAAAAACGCTTCCAATCTATGACCACAACAAGCGAGCAATCTAAAACATTCTTGACAGTGATTGATCAATAATCAACATGGTTAAAAGATCACAATCAAGTAAAAAGACAGTACCCCTGCAAAGTTACAAGTCTTCCCAGATGATTAAATAGCAGAAGTTTGAAAGATAAAATCACTCTCCAATGATGACCACAAAAGAAAAGCAGCCTGAAATTCATCACTTGATCTATTGCGCCAATGTAAAAAGCACAAGCATCACAAATTCACAATCTACTAAAGTCATTAAATAGCATAGCTTAATGTCTAGTCACTCTCAAACTATGAGCACAAACAGCAAGCAACTTAAAGTATTCATTTTACTAATAAATCATGCAAAAGTGAGATATCACTACAACAGTAGCTACTAAAAAGTGTCAAAATCTAAAACTAACTCCTCCAATGTAATAGTACATGACCAAAACTGACAAACCATAAAAATTAAAAAATTAAAAACAAAAGATTTTGCACATAACTTCCCCTTCTATATGATCTGTTTTCGAAATTATCAAACAAATCAAGTGATCAGAGGCACATTAAAAATCTCGGGTTTGAAGCTACTGAAAATCATAAAAATCCTAAAACCATGATCCACCAAGTAAAGTTACATATCCTAGGAAACCTAATCAAGATTTATGCCGAAAAACCTAATCTGCCAAGCAAAGTTACAGATCCTGGAACACCATAATCGAGATTTAACCCTGAATCACTTTCTGTAATATAGCAATCTTAAACCCAAATTTTCATAAATTCAAATTTACTCTAAAACAATTCTATGCCAATAAACTAAATTCCCATCTCCCAAAATTCTGAAGTCCATAAATCTGTAACAAAACAAATAAAAAAGTTACCCGTTTCAGCTCTGGAAAAAAGCAAGAAAAAAGATCATTTAGTCAGAAAAGATTAGCAATACTGAGAAAATAAATTGATAAAATTCAAACACCATTTAGAAAAGAAAAATAAAAGAATTAAAGATATCAGTAGATATCATTCACCTGAATGTTCAACTAACATTTTAACAAGTGAAAGAACATTAATTTACGCCTTCCTTTTGCTGTACTTTTGAAAGGCCCAAACGCACAGCCGATCCCCCATCTGAATACAGTAAAAACCCCAAAAATCTGTATAAAACATACAAGAACAACCATGTATCAAGTATTTCTGATGAAATATTTATTAGAAAGAATGAATTGAATTTCAATAAGGAAAACAAAAAATTAGTGAAACGAATAGCTTTAGTTTACCTGAATCTTCAATTGGCATATGTACAAATCCAAAAGCCCTGAATTTGCATCTTTCTTTCTCCGCCATTTTCACACACAGAAACACACACCCAATCCCCATCTCCTCTTCTGGAAACAAATGCTACACAAATAATTTGTGGAAAACAAGAACTTGTTCAAAGAAAACTCTAAAAATCTTGGAAAAAAGTAAAATAGGGCCCAATTTGAACGTTATAATTTGGGAAACATATTAAAAAAAAAGCACAAAAATTTTGAAATGGCAGAGAGATAGGGAGAGAGATGGTAATATCAGCTTTGATGAGAGAAATGAAGGAGAAAAGGCCGGAGAGAATAGGAGGGTTTATATAAGTAGATGGGGTTTTGAGAAGTACAATCAGGTAATTTAAAAAAAAAAAACTCACCGATGATGATGATGCTGAGAATTTCTGAGAAGAGGAGTACATGGAGTTTAAAAGGAGAAGCAATCTTCATTTTTTTCCTTTTATGATCGTGGGTAACCCAATTTACCCGAGAATGAGATGATGAGACTGGCAGGGAAGGAGAGGTAGAAGGACTCGGGGAGATGGAAGCGTAGAAGTCTGGAAGAAATTGTTGGAGAAAGAGGAGAAAAATTTTTGACGTCTGTCACAAGTATCTCGAGCCCATTCCCACTGTGATTGTCACTGAAAAAGTCGGAAACACGCAACGTCTCACTGAAAAAGTCGGGAGCAAGTGACCTAATTTGCCGCGCAGCTGGACATTTGATCTGGTGGTCATCATCCTTTTTGGTGATACTGGAGGTCAGAATTCTACCTCTACCTCCCTTAAATTTGCCACAACCCTTCCTCCTAGATTAGACTAGATTAAATTATAGGACATTTACCGTTGCCGACAAAAAAAAAAAGTAACCTAATTTGTCCAATCAAATCAATTGAATCTGTGATTTAAAAAAGGGATAATTTCATAAACCTCCCCTGAGGTTTCTGATATTTACACTTACCTCCCTTGTGGTTTGAACAATTACACTGACCTTCCCTGAGATTACTAATCCTTTACAAATTCAGTCTAAATGATTAAAATATTATTTTAGAGAGTGAAATTAGAATTTTGTACCTGATTTGTCCTTTGTGCCACATGTCCAATGAATGACAAAGTATTACAAATTAATTAATAATTAATAAACTTTAACGAGCGTAGTTTATAGGCAAAAACGTATTGCCTATTTAAAGTACCAGCTCTTTACATGAATTTTATTTTCAAACATTTACTTTATCACAAATATTTATTCTCAAATACAGATTTGTATTTACTCTCAAATATTTAATTTTTGTTAAATACAAAAGCTACCAGTTTTTCTTCCGTAGAAATATTAATATAACATTTTTTCAATTTCAGTTACAAATATTTATGTATTTAACATAAATTAAATGATTCAGAATAAAATACTCATAAAGAACTAATATTTTACTTATGTAATGGATGAAAGTCATAAAAGAACTGATACTTTAAATAGGCAATACGTATTTGCCTATAAATTACGCTCGTTAAAGTTTATTAATTGTTAATTAATTTGTAATACTTTGCCATTCATTGGACATGTGGCACAAAGGACAAATCAGGTACAAAATTCTAATTTCACTCTCTAAAATAATATTTTAATCATTTGGACTGAATTTGTAAATGATTAGTAACCTCAGGGGAGGTCAGTGTAATTGTTCAAACCACAGGGGAGGTAAGTGTAAATGTCAGAAACCTCAGGGGAGGTTTCTGAAATTATCCCTTTAAAAAAAGGTCACCTGCAGAACACGTGATGATAAACAAAACCATGGAATTAAAAAATTTTGGACGAACACCCTCCAACCAATCACATTTCGCCACATCACCAATAATACACACTCTTGAGGCATGGCATTCCCCCTTTTATACATATGTTAAATAGCACAGACCCTCTGCAATTCCTCTTGCTATCTTCAATCTCGTTTCCCACTTTAACCAATCTAAATTCTTACCGCGGTAAAATGGAACAACATTCCTGGACCAAAAGCTGTGCAAGTCCATATGAGGCATATATTTGTAAACAAGAAACTTGTGATTTTCATTCTCCAAGCAATGCCCCAAAAGAGGGACAAATCTAGGATGAGAAACTTTTTGTTGTAAAATTCCAGTTCTCGCATTAAGGAAGTTCTATTGATCAAGAACAAGTCAACTTTCTTCACTACTACCCGAATTCCAGCTTCTAAAGCACCCCTAAACAGAAGCCCTGTGCGGGCATACATGATCAAGTTGGAGCCGCTGAAGTTATCGGTCGCTTGAAGAATTTGATCGTATGTAAATGAACTCCTTGCCAGCGATGATGGTGATGGTGATGGTAGTGATGATGCTAAAGAAAGATCGCTGGGAGTTCTTTGAGCAATGAGCCGGAGCTCCTCCCTGAGGAGTGTAGCACCGACCAGCCTTTCCCAGTTGTCGTAAATTCTGGACATCTTGATTTGATTAATCTACTAAATTTTGTTTGGTGGAAAGATTGATTGATCTTAATCTTTAAGAAAATCACGGCCCAAGTTCTGCATTTCAATTTCGGAAAAAGTCTTACTAATAAACTAACCTTACAACAAAAATTAGTCAACTGCATTACTGTACAAGTAAACTAGATTGAATGAATAATATAAATTTTTTGAAAAAAAAACTGCTATGAGCATCAAATAAGCTGACCAACCACACGTCTTATTAAAAAGACCACATTCGAGATTGCTGTCATCAATTTTTAATTAAGAAAAATATGCAGAAAAACTTACATAAGAGTTTCCAGTAGATAATCTATAATTTAATGCATAAAAAATTTGAAGATTTATTAGTCAACTCGTATTAATTTTTTTTATAATCATATAGATGTATAATGATCTCTTAAATCTGAAATGATGAATCAGGAAGAATTATGAGTATTACTCTTATTTGATAGAAAAGGGGAAAAAAAGGCTAGACTACACATCATTAAAATGAAAATTTGTCAAACTATTCAATTACAGATTCCATGAATATCGTGCAAAAAATAGGAGACGATGGAAGTAAGCAGAAATGAAAAAGGCAATTATGATAAAAAAAATTAACTAGATGATAATTGCAATATATAACCTTAAACTATCAATAATTGGTGATTTTCATTTTAAACTAGTTTTTTTAATTAAGTATGTTACGCTACCAAAATTGTAGCAAATTGCTTAGGTGAGTTGAAAAGCAATGAACCTTGAATCAAATATTTTTAGCTTTTGTTCTTTTTTTTCAGAAATGGTAGAAATTTTATTTCTTATAATAAGAAAGTAACACTACATTGTGTAAGCAAGGGATCAATATTTGACTTTACAAAAGTGGACAAGGCCACTAAGGAGCTTTAAGTTCCTCATCAAAGTATATGCATAGCTAATCTACTCAGTTTTGCATTGAGTCTATTCATTTTAACAGGCAATCTATCAAATGAGCATTTCCTAAAATTGAGCAAAGATCTTTTATATCCTCCAGGTGAGTAGCCAGCCGTATGTTGCTAGAAGATTGATACCTTATCATATTTAGGACCTGAGTACATGGCGTTTGGATCTTGATATACTGCCACCCTTTCTCTTTAGCTTGCAAAGCGCCAGTTTAATGGCCAAAAGATTGTCCAGTACTACTGATCCAGTGCTTCTCTCGTTCAGTATCCAAGCTTCGGATTTCTGGCCGAAGGTGTTTTCTGCTGTAGCTCCAATTCCCATGTTTTGTCCTTCTACATGTTGTCTTACCTCAACACTAATGTTCAACAAATTTTCATCCTCCCCCACCCTTTCTTCCTCATTTTGTGTTGTTTCTGTTTCTGAGATGCTCATCTGGTGTTCGGTCTGCTGTAATTGGTGATACTCCTCCCAATCCTTGATTGCTTTCCTGATGACTTCCATTGAATGCCTATCCTTCTCTTCGATTCAGCTTCATTCCTGGCTTTCCAAATCTGCCAAAGTATTTCCGTTATTAAGGCTATGTGTTCCCATCCATCCTTTCGCGTCTGAGCTTCCATTAACATACTCCACCATCTCCTGAAGTCAGCAGTGTACTCCTTCAGTCCATCCCACTAGAGGGGTGCCATCAGCCAAATCATTTGTGCTTGTTTGCAATGAAAGAAAATGTGTTCCACTGTTTCACTATTTTCCCCACATAGCTTGCAGATTATATCACCTTTACCTGTTCGTTTATGTATTGCTTCCCTACATGGCAAGGCTTGGTTCACGCTTCTCCAAACAAACAGCTTTTGTTTGTGCTTTATCTTCATTCTCCATAGCTGTTTCCAAACCTTCCTACTTCCTCCTTCCCAACTTGTCTCTCCCTTAACTCTTTTGTTTAGTCCCGGCTGTTTGTTCTCTTTTGTTATCACTTCATATGCTGAGCTAACTGTGTATTGACCATTCTCACTATGGCACCAGAAATAGCAGCCAGGTCTACCAGTTAGGCTTATAGGGATTTTGAGTATTTGTACCGCATCTCTTGCATTAAAGGTCCTGAAAATTAGTGGTGAGTTCTATTGAAAGTTGGAAATCAGTTCACTCACTTTGCTAATCTTGCAATCTGGGGGTTTTGGGGACTCAACTTTGCCTTCTTTACCCTCCTGGATCCAGGCATCCTCCCAAATTCTGGTACCTTTGCCATTACCTATTCTCTTCCTTGTTCCTCTCCTTACCTCCTCTCTTGCTCCCATCATGCTTTTCCATATCCAGGAGGAATTGCCTTTTGCTTCACAACTTAAAGGTGACTCCTTCTGATAATACTTGGCTTTGATCACCTTGCTCATCAGCAGGTTTGGGCACGTGAGGGGCCTCCAGATTTGTTTCCCCAACAAAGCTTTATTAAAGCCTTGTAGGTCATTAAATCCTAAGCCACCATTGTGCTTTCCAGTTGCCATCCTTTTCCATGAACACCAATGCACTTTCCTTTTTCCATTATCCTCTCCCCACCAAAATCTTGCCATTAGAGTGTGTATATCTTTGCAGAGTTTCACTGGAAGCTTGAAACATGACATTGCATAGGTTGGCATTGCCATAGTTATAGCTTTTAGTAAAACCTCTTTGCCTGCTTGGAAGAGCTTCTTGTTGCACCAATTAGAGACTGTTTTCTGACACTTGTCTCTGACAAAACCAAAGATCTGGTCCTTAGTTCTGGTATGACGATTGGCAACCCCAAATACTTTCCTTGATGTACTACCTGTATATTTCCTAGGCTACTGCAGATCTCCTTTTGTTCCTTCCGGTCCACATTCTTACTAAAGAAGACTAATGACTTTTTCATGTTCATCATTTGTCCTGAGCCTTGTTCATACGTCTCCAAAATCTTCATCACCTCATCAGCTTAAACCTTTTCAGCTTTGCAAAAAATCAGAGAGTCATCTACAAAGAAAAAGTGGTTGATTGATGGTCCATATCTACTTATCTTCAATCCTACCAGCTTATGGTTGCTCTCAGCTTGAGTCAGCAAATTGGAAAAACCTTCTGATACTAACAAGAAAAGATAAGGTGATAGAGGATCACCTTGTCTAATTCCCCTTGAAGATGTTATATATCCTTTTGACTCCTCATTTATGTTGAAAGAGAATGTAGCCGTGGTGATGCATTCCATAATCCAGTTGATCCATATCTCGCTGAATCCCATTTTGGTGATCATTGCCTTCAAATAGCCCTACTCCACCCTATCGTAAGCCTTTGACATGTCTAACTTTAAAGCCATGAAGCCTTGAGATCCTTGTCTTTTATTTTTAATGTAGTGCAAGTACTCATGAGAGATAATAACATTGTCCAAAATTTGTCTTCCAGGCACAAAGGCTGCTTGGTTTTTACTGATGCAATTATTAAAAATTTTTTTCAATCTATTTGCAAGAATTTTGGAAATGATTTTATAAAAAACATTGCAAAGACTTATAGGCCTGAACTGCTTGATCTCAATGGGATTTTCTACCTTTAGTATCAGGGATATGATGGTATGGTTGACTGCTTTTAGCATATGTCCAGAGTGGAAGAAACTTTGGATGGCCTGAATGATGTCTGTTTTGAGGATGTGCCAAAATTTCTGAAAGAAGATTGGTGTCATACTATCCGGGCCAAGAGATTTTGTTGGGTTCATGGAAAATAAAGCTTCTTTAATTTCTTTCTCCCTCACAAGTGCGATAAGTCCTATGTTCATTTGGTCAGTGATGGTCAGTGATATTCCCTCTAGAACCATGTCTGTATTATTGGCCCCCTTACTACAGAAGAGATCTGTATAATGCTTCACCACTTCTTCTCCTATCTCTTCTTCAGTGTTTGTCCAGGACTTATACCCTCTTTGTATTCTATTTATCTTATTTCTCTGGGTTAAAAATAAAAAAACCTCCTGTGGTAAGTCTAATACACAGAAAAACCCCCTATGATTTCAAAATATACAACGCAACACCTCGTGCTTTGAACTAAGTTGTAACATTGACGGAAATCGGTAAAATTAACGGAACTGATGTACTGTAAGTTAAAAACAAATTCTTTATACTTAATTTTTAGTAAATATTCCTATTGTACCCCTTAACCCCCAATAAAACTCCCTCCCAGCGATACTTGTGTATAGAATCGATTTCTACTTGATGGAGAGAAATTGAACTAGCCTTTGGGAGAAATCAAATTACCACACAGGAGGTTTGAAAGGTAAAGCCATCCTCTAGATACGAAGTCAACTTGCGAGGAACTACTACACAATCTTGGCTAAGGTAAAAGCATTTGATTTTGGGTTTTGGCTAACAAATTGTTGTTATTAGGGTTTAAAGTAAGAATGTTGGTAACTAAATTGGGATTTATCTACTGATGAAGGGAAATGACTGGCTAAAAAATTTGCTCATGTCTTCCTCAAGCTCTCGAGGGGATAGTGGAGCTAGGAATCTACGGTACCAATATAAGCTGTGCGACTGTCGAAGAAAGGCAAAGGTGAAGATTGTTGAGTCCGAAAAGCCATCCAAAGGGATGCTGTACTTTGTTTGTGAAAGGGATGAATGCAGATTTTTCTCATGGTGTAATCCCATCTACAGAGATGAAACCGGCAGAGGAAACTTTTTTGAGAGGCCAATGGTTGAAGAACATTTGTCGTGCTTGAACTTGAATGATGAAGTGAAGAACTTGAAAGTACTAGTTAGTTATTGTCTAATGGTATCTATTTTTTCACTTTTGCTTCTGTTGATGAAAATGTCTGTAAAATAAGACAATGAAGAAGCTTATGAATGGAAATGAAGAAAATCAGGTAGTTTGTTTTGCTCATGGAAATGTGCACTTTATTCTTCTATTTTTCTGAAAGATGTCCTACCTAAAACAATGAAACAAACATCTAACTATTATATACACTTGTAATCATATTTGTGCATTAAAAATAGTTTTGAGCAATAAGCACACACAATAACGTCTTCTGCATTCCAGTTTTGAGTAATAAGTACACCAAAGTACATTAAAATTTTCAATCCATAAACTATTCCAGAAATATATCCCACAAAACATCCCACACTACATTCCAGAAATATATCCCACTATACATTCCAGTTTTGATAACAATTTCAAATAGAGTAGACAAAATACATCCCACCAAACAAAAACTGTCTAGACAAACAGTACATGAAATATTCCAGCCCATAAAAATTGCCCAGAAATAGCTTCTTCTGCAATTGAGAAATACCATTGCAGCCCATAATCATAATGCTCCATTAAAACAGTCAATAAGTACATTAAAGTGTCCAACACCTGACAAGAACACCTGACAAGAATCCTCCAAATTGCTGAAGCCAACAGCATCCAATCAAAATACATCAAAGTTTCCAGTTTGCAATAATTGATAACAATTCCAAACAGAGTAGACAAAATACATCAGAAACATACATTCCAGTTGTTTGCCACCAACTCTAACGGCAACCACTAATTCCTTAAAACTACACAAAAATGCAATCAACAAACATACAGTCCACTTCAAAAATCAACTTCAACATATTCTTACTTTCTTGGATCTTAGGTTGTATAGAACATCAGCAACAGTAGGACGAAGGGGTCCTTTTGTTGGTGAAGTTGTTCCACTCACAGGCTGCAATTGAAGTAGAAAATATGAATGCTTGATGGAAAAATGCTTCATTAAATCACTTTTGCATTACATGAAATCCAACCTGAGAACATGATTGTCTAGCAGGCACCTTTTTTGCTACACTCGCAATTGTTGGCTGCGTATACTGCTTCCCGAGCCTGCAGCTTTTTTTTTTGAACAGGTGCAGCTTGTTCTTGATTTGGGACTGGTTGCGGGGGTACCATTGGTGAAGGAGCTGATGAATGAAGTTCTGAACTTGATTCAGCTACATTAGTGTCAGGTGCCTATAAAAAAACAAGTTCATTTTAATGTTCAATTAAAATGATTTGGGACAGCAATTAGTCTTAGCCTATGAAATCTGTAAGCTGTGTTACCTTGTAGAATTTAGAGTTGGGATGAATGGCATTCTTGCAGGTCCTTGAATTGTGTCTTGGCTGAAAACATCTCTTGCAAGTTACCACAAGACCCTTTCTGGTTGAGACTTGACCCTTTTTAGGCTCGTCAGCTGCCTTTTGCTCGATCTTTTTGGGTCTGCCAGGCATTCTTCGAACTGCAGAAGGTTTTGGGGGTTGTTTTTCACATCTCACCTAGTACTTATTACTTGGGACAGGTGTGATAGTGTGCTCATGTGTTTTCAAGTAATTTTCTCTACTGTAGCAGGCATGCACATAATCAAGCAAAGGCAATCTACGTGCTCCTATTGCAGCACATGCATGAGCACAAGGATAACCTGTAAGCTGGAAATAGCCACATGTGCAAGTCTTTTCCTTCAGATCCACCACAACAGATTTTCTGGGCCCACAATCAATTTCATATTTGTTCTTGTCATCCCATGTGGGAATACACAGCTTACTGAATTTCAGATTCCTATCAATCTTCTCTGCAATGTTAGGACATATTTTTCCTTGAAATTTCTGCATACCAGTCCTCTTCACTTGAATCCTTTGCATGAGCCTTCTTCGAATCCACTCAATCATCCCGATGACAGGAAGCTCTCTAGCTTCTAAGATATAGTTATTAAATGACTCACAAAGATTGTTCACAAAAATATCACATTTGCTACTTTGTCTAAAATGTGACCTGCTCCATAAAACACTTGGCACTTTTTGTAGCCATTCAGCTGCATCCTTTGAAGCTTTTTCAAGGGAATTCATTGATAATTTCCAGTCCACTTCATTCCCAGCACTTGCTGCTGCCCAGAACAAGTCCTTCAACTCTTTTCCTTTGAACTTCTGTTTGAAATTTTGGTACATATGCCTCAAGCAAAACCTGTGTTCAGAATTTGGAAATAACTCATTCACTGCATGGACCAGTCCTTTTTGTTGATCTGAGATGAATGTCCAGGGTATGTTTTCCATACCAAGTCCCAGATCAGCCATTAGTAGTTCCAGAAACCACTTCCATGAGTCATACCTCTCTACCTCTACCACTGCTACAGCTATTGGAACCATATTGTCATGCCATCTCTACTAATTGCTGACAACAACTGACCACCAAATGCAGATTTCAAAAAATACCCATCAAGACCAATTATTGGTCGACAGCCATCGAGGAACCCCTGTTTGCAAGCATAAAGACAGTAATACAGTCTTTGAAATGTCCCTTATGAACCTTCTTCTGCTGTATCAAGCTTAATATTGACAGTGCTACCAGGATTTGTCTCTCTAATTGTAGCTGCATAACTCCAAAGGTAGTGATATTGCTCTATATCCGTGCCAAGCATCTCATATTTTGCCTTTCTCTTTGCTCTGCGTATCTTGGCAACGGACACGTTAATCATTAGATCTCTTCTAATATCATTCTGAAATCTATTCACGGCACACTGCGGGTCACCTCTTATCTTGTCTTGGTACTTCACGTTCAAATACTTGGCTGTTGCATGCTTGTTGTTGTAATCTCTAGCACAAACATGCTGGCCCTTCAATGATTTAATTTGAAAAGTAGTTTCACCTTGGACTGGTGTTGCACGAATCCTCCAAGAACAACCCTTTGCACACGTCGCAATAATTTTTTTCGAGTAAATTTTTACCCAATCAACCTCATATCCCTCTCTTACCAACCATTCGACCAATACATATCTAAAAACTCTGAAATTGGAAAACTTTTGCCCAACCTTCAACTCAAAATATGGTTTGAGAAACTCCACTTCAGGGTTAAAGTCATGACATTCTTCATGGCCTTCATCATCAGATCTGCACTTGTCCAGCAACTCTTCATCAGAAATTACTGGTTCTTGCCAATCCTCTTCTGGTGTATGTGGTGCTCCTTCTTCTGTTGATCTTTCCTCAGCCTTTTTACTGTTCCCTGCTTCAGCTTGTGATGGGATCTGAGATGGGTGTTGGTCAGTAGCTTGAGATGCAGCTTGAGATGAAATCTGAAATGAGATATGAGGTGAAATTTCTCTAATGCTATCTGACCCTGCAGACTGCTTCTTATTTTTACTGAACTTTTTTTCCTTACTAGTTTCACTTTTGGCAAGGCTCTTGATAGCCACCTTCTCAGGGAAAGAGAACACGTGATAAGGCTTAAAGTGAGTGGAATGTAGTATGGACCCACCCCCTGGTTTACTACTT